ATTCTCTAATTTTGGTGAATATTTTTGTCATTTTGGTAAAAAGTGATATTTTTGAATTTTTGTTGAAAACAGCAAGTCCCATTGCATTGATACTATGCATATTGTTCATTTTCTAATGATATCTTCTGTTCTATAATTGAAATGTGCATTGCTAACAGCGGAGCTATCTCAGCCGAGAGGCTGCTTGTTGAAAATATTAATGGTTTGTTGTATTTGTAGTTCATTGAACAGTGTACTTTTTGGAGCAATATCTGGTGATTGTCTTCCTACAAATCATTGCTTGGGTTGTTTTTAAGTGTCCTTAATTGACCAATTGGCTTTACTTTTGAAAGTGCCATTGTCTCTGTAGTAGATGATTTAATTAAACTTAAAACTAAATATTGTAATTTACCAGTCATGCTTGGCTCCACTAGAGTATTATAAAAACATGATATAGCTGCTAATGCGCACATTAGCTATGAAGTTGGTTTAGTAGAAGCATCAGCAATTCGGCATGAACACCCAGCAAGTGTAGCTGTTATTTTAGGTGGGAATTGTTCATCTCCCTCCATGCAATACTGGTTTAATCTTTGTATAAATCTGTTATACAGAGTGACAGTTGTAGGTGACCATCCGTACTGTACTTGGTTTGATGCACAATCAAGGATTGCCGTCTTGTTTTCCCACATGTTCAAGTGTTCAGTTCCCAGTGATACTGTACTGGTTCTGCTTTTGGTCCTTTGCACGCAGGCTGTTCGCGTGGAATTGGTAGAGCTACTGTTATTTGTTTCTCGTGGCTCAACCAGGTTTGTGCTAGTCAGTATGTTGCTATTACTGTTGCTACTGCACCCTGTCACTTGGGTTTATCCAGTAAATGGGATGACAGAAATTGTTGTGTTGGCTTTAATCACTGTTGCACTTTATATCTGTCTGACCTGCAGTTTCCTCTGTCACTAACTCAATAAAGATTTAAAAATATTTTATATCATTCAAAAGCAAATCATGTGAAAATAATTATTATAGTGTGTGTATGTCAACAGGTGACTTCAATCAGAATCAAGTCCAACTTGATTTTGGGATAGCATTTTATCTATTAGAGTGCACACTGATGACAGTAAACTTAGCTTTTGATGTGTCAGTGATTGGAATGAATAACGTTGATTCTATTAAATTAACTAAATAAACCGCAAAGCATGTTATGAACGCAATTGTTGTTTGGTCATATTTTATAACATATAGGTTTTCAATTATTTTTGTAGGATTCACTGCGTGTACATTTACCAATCCAATATGGTTAGTGAAAACCAGGTTACAGTTGGACCAAAGGTAAAACTTCATCATTCTTATTTATTTTAAAACATTGTCGTCGAATTTATTTTTGTACACTAACGATCTTAATATGCCATTCAAAGTGGCTACAGAAATGTTGATATCTGCCAAGATTTGGATAAAGCACATCATTGAAGAATTGTGAGTTTGAATGTTGTTTTCACAAGTTTGCAAATTTCCCTTGTTTGAACCCTACAGGAAAATAGGTCGCAACCTTGGTGCTCTACAGTGTATTCAGAGTGTGTACAGAAAGGAAGGTCTTCGTGGATTTTACCGTGGTGTCACTGCCTCTTACGCTGGAATTTCAGAAACTGTTATACATTTTGTAATTTATGAACACTTGAAAAAAACACTTCGTGAAAAGCGTGGAACTCAAATAGGATCTGAGAAAAGTGCCCAGGACTTTATGGAATATATGCTTTGTGGTGCTTGTTCGAAGACGTGTGCTTCCATCTTAGCTTATCCTCATGGTGAGTATACATTGATATTTGCGATAACAGCAACAAGTAGTTAAAGTTGAACTTTGATGAGATTACAGTCTGTCTGTCAGTTCTCCAAGTTCATGGAGGTCACTATGACCACTCATGGCATTGTCTTCGGATTTCCATTGACTTGATTGCATTTCATTCGTATCTTATCTTATCCGATACAATTTATATTGTCCTGAAATTGGGTACCTTCCTAATGCTGTAGTTTTCATCAAATGAATAATGTTTGACACTTACTGGATTAGAATGTCAATAGGAAACTAAAGACAAACTACTAAACAAGATGTCCCAGAATTCTATGGTGGTGTCTACTTATCTCTGATCTTTAACACTTTGTAGCTGATTTTACAATCGGCGTAAGTTGACATATTAACCAGTCATAAAAATTGACATTCGTCTATACAAGTGAGTCATTACATAAAGTAAAAATATTATTATTCCTACTCCCCCGAACTCTGTAAACTTCTAAATTTTGTGATTTCAACAATTTGGTAGCTGGGACTAAATATCATCAAGACCTGCTGCCAATGGGATTTTTTTTTTCATTTGGTCCAAAATTTATAAAGCAATTATAGAAAAATAACATGGCAAATATTACATCAAAATTTCTGTGAAAAAATATATCACAAAACATGTATGTAAGTTTGTTGATTGTTTGTAATTTACTATTGTAATATAGGATAATAACCTGATTTTCTTGCTCTTTTTTGTAGAGGTTGTCAGGACAAGACTTCGTGAAGAAGGCACAAAGTATCGATCATTCATTCAGACATTAGCCACCGTGGCACGTGAAGAAGGACCCAGAGCACTATACAGGGGACTTGCAACGCAACTTGTACGACAGATACCAAACACAGCAATAATGATGTCTACATATGAAGCGGTTGTCTACCTTCTCACTGTTCGAGAACCTATCTTCTCACATAATTGAAACAAACAAACTTGTAAATAACTTCATTTCAGATATAGATATATTTATTGTTATTTTTTTGTTTTTTTTATATATACATGTATATTAATTGATTTTTGTATCGCTTAAAACTGCTTTAAAAATTGTTAAATTATAGTTTGTGTGTACCGGTAAGTCTACTACTTCTGCTGCATGTGATAATTATTTCTTTTTTTAGGTCATACGTTGTGATAATGTTCACCACTATTATGTCAGTCTCCACAAAATGTCATTGGGACTACAGCCCACCTTGTCAGTATTGAGTGGTGTACTTATTTACAAAGGAAAAATGTATGCAGCATCTTTCAAACATATGAACCATGATTACTATGTAGCATTTTTGGAGAACCTATATTAACTGTTCGTTGTGTCAAAGTTGCACTAAAAATGTTTTTTTCTTTGTTTTTTTCTTCACTATTATTTGTGCATAATTGATGGTATGAATATGCAGATGTTCTGAATTGATTGCAACCTCCAGTAATTTAAAACTATCTTAAATATTGTTTCAGACGCAATTAAAAAATATTAACAAATTCAAACAGAATCGAATGAAGCAAAAACTATTGCCATCATTTGGATGTGTTAAAAAACGTTGAAATTTGAATGTGTGGAACATTTCCTGTAATTCGTGCATATTTATGCCATCTTATTAAATCAAATAATTTAATTAGACCTAAAAGTGTTATCTCAAGAGTTTAACAACAAATATTTACAAAGTGACTGTGTCACTGTCGACTCTTAAACGTCTTTAAAATGAATTCGAAAACATTTTGAGATAATTTGTTCTTCCCCTCATGACCATGAACTGAAAAATTGTTTCAATCCAGACGGTTTCTACCTTGCATACAATAATGAAGTGGGCGTGACAATTTTGGTATGGTGAATGGAATGCTGTCTGATACCGGATTTTACCATCATCGCCTGTTATATATTATACTTTCACAGGCACTTTCTTTGGTTTTCATTGTCTAACCTGAATTGACCTTAGTGTCATGTCAAAGGCTACAATGGTGCCGTTTTCTGAATCCTGTGCGACACACTTGTTAATTCTTGCATTTCTACCTGATCTATATATCAAATGCAGTTTTAATTAAGATTAGTCCTAGTCTGCCATTTTCACTTAAATAGGGAGGTTGGTTTCGTTCTGACCAGGCTTTCCTTGAAGTTCAATCAAGAAAAAAATATAATATACTGTGACAACTCAACAAAACAGCCATCCTTTATCGATGTCTTGCATTTTATAAAATTATTGATTATTCAAAATATAATAAATTGGCTCAAAATATCTTCATTAACATTCAAATCGAAAAAGAGCATTTTCTTTGTTCCTTTCGTGCATTTTTTACTGACCAATTTTGTTTATGGCTGGTTTTTGAGAATTAACTGTAAAGATAGTCGCCAAGAACAGTACTACTGTGTACAAGGACTGCAGAACAGGAAAGTCGAATGATTCTCTATTCCCAATATTTCCCCGTTAAACAACACCAATATTAACCATTGGACAAAGTCTTTTCAGACACCAAAACATAGTCTTGCAACTGAGGCATTTTTTGGACCTAGAATTTGATGGTGATTTGTCAAAAGTGGACCAGCAATGTTTGCAACATTTCAGCAAATAAAAATAAAATAAACCAAGTGCTTAAAGTACATAAAATTGAAAGGTAGCAACTTTGACAAACGTATACACAACTATAAGCTAATTAGATGTGTAATACGAATTTGTAAATGTTATACAGCAGCTGTGGTTCTCTGGTCTGGTTTTCATTGTGAATATTTTGGAATTGTTTTTTTGTCCGTCTGTCAATAAGCCTGATAAGGATTAGGAAAACTTATTTTTCATACATAAGGAAATTTATTTGATGATTTTCCAGTTGATTGCAATCTATAGCGTTTTGTTTTGCAGGCCATTTTGTGAAATCTGTAGCATTGTAGGAGACCTTTTTATTTTCCTATAAGAGTAGTTTCCAATATTTTGCCTGTGTAATACTAGTATTTAAACTTTTTAAAACAAAAATGAAGCAATTGTTTCTTTGAACTGAACAGTTTTAATTTGATTAGTTATGCATTGATCGTAATTTTTCATTAGCATGGAAGGGGAAGTTTTACCTTCTACATGCGTTATTTCTTGGTTTTTAAGTTGACTTTTCTAACATTCAATTAAACAATAGGTGCTTCTTTTTGGCATGTGCCTGTCTTTTTTTTTTTTTTTTTGATCAATCAAATCATCTCATGAAAATAAATATTGATTGATGTTTTTTTTTATTGGCTTAAACCCAAAGAATGGGTTTTGACAGTAACATTCTGGTTTAGTTTGATTGGCATAGTCATGCAACACTGCATTCTTTTTCCGGTATTCAATGTTGTAAAGATTTTTTATGTAAATAAATGTAAAATATGCAAGCTATGCCTTGTTAGATAGATATACACAATATTGTAATTATTTTATGTGCAATTACAGGCAGTATTTTTTAAAACTTGTAAATAAAAGTTCAGCGGTGTACAAAACGAAATAAAAGTTTTTGTAAAAGGATAATACTGATGTGGTGTTTTTCTCTGGACTTGTTATGTGATATTGGAAGGCTGTATGTAGAAAGTGAAGCTAAGGCTGAAAATTACTACTTGGCAATCCCTGTTGACCTGACCTACATCTTTCAGCCAGTCTGACACACATTTTTGAAATGCTGTATTTCAAGAGTAATTGAAAAAAAGTCCTTGTATGCTAGAAGTTGGGTAATATCCTGTGAGGGCGCTTTTATGTTGAATAGGTATTAAAGGTTAGTGGCAAGGGTGTTGTGGCATTTTTTAATGAAGAATTATCGCATTAATAATATTTATTTGCAATAGATTGTAAGTATTACAAGGAAGTAAATTATGAAAATATGTAAAATAATAATGATAAACTTTCAATAATCTATGGCAGGCAAACAGAAATAGCACAATATGGCAGTTTGCCTAAAATATATTGGAAAATATTTATTTGTGACATAAATGATAAAAAGCAACAGATAAATGAAACGTTATAAGAAATCTATAAAGAGTATGTTTCAAGACCTAATACAAACTAATGGAGAATAGGTCAGAGCTAATCATCAGAAATCATGCGTTCAGTTATTAAATATTTGTTTAAAGCTTTTTTGAAACAGGCACGATTGTGATTTTTTTTTAAATATGACTGTAACTTATTCCAAAGTATAGTTCCCTGGTAGTCAGTAGATGATTGTCCCAAGCTAGTTTGTTTTCTAGGAAGAGAGAAATTAGTTGAAAATCTAGTGTTATAGTTGTGTTCAGGGAAAGAGAAATAGTCACACACATTACCAAGGATTCTACTAGAGTGCAGATCATGGATAAATGTGCATAGTTGATATTTAAATTGGTCATAAATATTTAGGATG